CGGTTGGAAGAGTTGGTGTTTTGTCCAACTTTGGATTCCCAACCGAGATGATTTACTCCGGTTGGAAGAGTTGGTGATTTGTTCAACTTTGTTATTACCAACCGAGATGGTTATTTCGGTTTAAGAATTCGTTTTGTTCTAAGTATTTCAACCGAGTTATGAATTCCGATTGACGAGGTGTTGTTCAATCTATGATTTAATACCGAGATGATTTGCCGAAGATGGAATTGATAACAACCGTGCAAACACTTAGCGCAATTTGAGTTTTTCATTGATAAGAAAGTAAATACATAAGGTGGGGACAGAGCCCGGTTACATCAAAAGCGCGAAAGCAAAAATACAAAAATAGAAGAAAACTAAACTAAGGGGGAGAGATTGGTAAACTCGTCCTCGGCGGCTTCAAGGTTGATGGTTGGACTTTTGTCTTGTGCACCGGGCTCATCATGGCCGGGCTGCTCCTGCACCTCAGCATCCTCCGCCTCTGAATCTGTCTCGGCGTCTCCCTCTTCAAGCCCTTCCTTGGCCTCAGCTTGCAAAGCGCTGAATACGTCGTTTGCGTATGGCACGAGGTAGACCGGTAGCAGAGCAGGAGGAGGATTGGCAAATACGTCGGTGTCAGAGCCCTGGCCGAGATGCTCACAGGCGGTCTTCCAGCCAGCTTTGAAGTAAATGTCTTGTGTTGCAAAGACTTGTTTTTTATAGCTCTGCTTGGCTTCGTTGAAGCCGGCGTTGTTAGCAGCCCGACAGTCTTTCTTCTTCGACTTTTTGAGCGCTCGTACCTCGGTCTGGAGCTCATCCCGTTTTTTCTCGGCCTCTTCCAGCCGACCGAGCAGTTTGTTGTTATCTGTATTTGCCATCTCAAGCGAAGACTTTGTCCGGCCGAGCTCGGCTTGGAGGCTCTCGACTTAGCTGGCTGTGTCATTGGCCTTTTGCTGAAGTCTATGGATGCGCTCCAATACGAGGTGTTGTTTCTAAATGGCCTGCAAGAAACAAAGTCGATTAGAAAAGGAACCGGGCAAACACTTGTGAAATTTTCAGAGGTACATTGACTTACCCTGGCCATGGACTTCACTGATGATTTTACCAACCGAGTGTTAGGGATGTGGTCGCTGCCGACCATGTCGCCCGGTAGAAGAAGAGCTTTGGAAAGATCGAAGGCGAGCAAATGCTCTTTATCGCCCTTGATCGAAGCCGTAGCCGAGATGTCTTGACCCCGGTGCTTCAGCTGTGGACGCCAGGTCGGCACTGGGACAAGAGCATCAGATAGATGCTCGGTAGTCAGCTCGGCGACAAGCTCGGCAGATGGGTCTGCCCGAGCTCTTTTACTAGCACGGCGTGGAGCAGGTTCTCGGCTAGACTGCCCAGTCGCTTGAGAGGCAAGAGCGACCACGGCGCCGTTAGATTGACCGGCGGCTGGTGAGCGAGTGACAACGCTCGGCATCTCGGCAGATGTGGCGGTGAGCAGGTTTTTGATTCTGCTTCGTTTGGCCATTTCTTGTTCCTCTGTCAGGCGAATGAGGGAAACGTCTGGCAGAGTTGGATCTGGTGGAGGTGTTGGAGCGTGGAGGAAGTCTGTAACTTTACTCTGGCGGGGAGCGGAGTATCTGTATGTGGGACTGTAGCCGAGCAATTGGCTGCAATCTCGGTCGCGGTAGCGAAGCGCGGTCCTGATTGCCTCTACGTTGGGGAAATGATAGTTGGCTTGCAAGGCTTGGATTGCTGCAAAAGAAACAAGAAAGAAAATGATTAAAGTACAAAAACACGAAGAAAGCGTATTAACCGAGGTAGTTTGCGCGGCTTACATGTGCTGCCAAAGTTTTTGCTTATCATCCAGCCCGGTACCTCGGCTGTCTCGTAATTGCCAGACACCCAAAAGAAATCATCGTCGTGAAGATCCTTGTCTGGTGTGCCGGTCACGATTTTCTCTCTGCCCGGTCTAATCTTGAGATAATAGGCGAGACCGTTGCCGGTGTGGCCTAGGGTGTATTGGCGCAGGATCTCGGCTAAACCTAGGCTTATGCCTAACCGGTTGTTTAGCTCGTGCACGCCGTTTATTATCCGGTAAGTGTTGGTGGACACTTGGGTGGGTGCTAGCCCGGTTCGGCGTAGGAACTCGGTGATAAGTGGGTTCAGAGCGAAGCGGAGGCCTCCTTCGACGATCGACAGCACGGTGAAGGGGCATTGTTCTGTTCTACCCCAAGGCGTGGTCTCTTCTTCTGCGAGCTCCAGGTGGACATCGGCCGGGATGCCATACTCCTCCCTGAACGCAGCCAGCACGGCCGGAGTATCCACTAGGAAGCGGAATTTCCCCATTTGTGGCCGGCCTAGGATAGCTCGGCTGAGGGGTTTGGCACTGTGGTAATTGGTTGCTGCTCGGTCCTGAGAGCCTCAGGAATGGACAGTGGTCCCCTTGGACTCTGTAGGAAAAGGATGGCAAGTGTAAGTGTGAGCGCGGTCGCGTGAAAGGAGCTGGACTTTAGCTCGGTCATTAAGAGTGCCAAACCACCTCGGTTGTCTAATCTAACTAAGGAGCTCGGTCGCCCAAGCAGACTAGATGTTAGCCCAGTTGAGCGGCCAAGTCCTTTTGTTATCTCGGTTTTTGCTGGGATTGAGACAAACATGTTATTTGCTCGGTTAGATTGGTTTTTTGGATCAAATGAAGACCAGGAGCCCGGTCCGCCCCAGTTCTTCAGTGTTCTTCAGGAAAATAAAGAACACCAAGAACATTGGGAGGTTTGGGACGGTTTCTATGGCCTATGCCCTAAGAGCTACGTTTTAGTGCCCTAATGTGTGTAATATTAAAGAAAATAGCAACAAAAGAGGGATCGAAGGTCTTACCAATGAGGGGCAACTACTTTTCCTTCAAGCACAAACGCAAAGAACGGCAAACGAGGCCTGGACAAAGATGCTAGAGCTCTAGAGTCGAATAGCAGAATGGCAGTAGGAGGAAATTGAGTTTGGGGAGGTCTTGTATGTATAGATAAGGGTGAGACCGCCCAAATTCAAATTCTGGCAAAAACGGCGGGTTGGCTGCTCGAGAACCAATGGCAGCCCGTCACATGTCCCCATTTATGGCGACGTCAGAACTGAAGAGCCAGGTTGAAGAGTCGAAGAGCCAACCGGGTTACTTTCGAAGAAGAGGACGTCAGCCGAGGAGTATAACCGGGCAAGTTTGCAGACAGTTAGGTTAACTAGCCCGGTCGCCCTTTGTCAACTTGAAGACCGAAGAAATGTTACCCCGGTCAGTATAGGTAATCCCAGTCACGCTCGCGCGGACGGAATTAAGGGGCAATTGAGAGGGAGATTTATGATCTGGAGTTGAGCCGAGGTAACGGCCGAGCAGGTTGAGAGCCTAATGGTGCATAGGGCCGAGATGATCGGCGATCCGCCCGTTGACGGGCTGCCAGGAATTGGGCCGGGCAGGAGTTGGGCCAAGCATGTGCCGACCGAACCATAAAGGAGCTGCTCGGAAAGGCAGTGCTCGGTTGGACCAAGCTGCTTGATCA